CCCCACAATCACTGGGATGGGATGCTGAGCCAGCAGGCCCATGTCTGTCCTTTAGTCTTCTTGTCACATGCTGTTGTGTCATACCTTGGGGCTCAGCATCGGGAATGTCATATGTTTTGATGATAACAGGGCATCAAGATTAAGTACTATTAAGGCCTATAACAATCGCTTGGTCAATGGGCTTCTGGCCCAAGTTCTCTGTGCTCTTAGAACAAAAGTTGAGACTCTAGCTGCCCCTCCCCCAAAGGGGGGAAAAGCAGCTAATCTTGGTGGCTGGCCCTCAGGGGAAAAGGAATCCAACAATAAATGCTGCAATTGAATGAAACAAAGGAAATATTTGTTTCATTATAAAAACACTATCCAAAAACGAGAAAAGCATGGACTAAATGCCAGAAACTCTTACTTAAGTCCTTTGAAATTATACTAATTCAAAGTCCAAGGAAGTGCTACAGAGGAACCAATCCTAAATAGATAATAAGGAGTGCCACAAAGGGAAGACAAGAAAGTGGAAAGGCCAACACATCAGTGCTCACATCCCAGCTCGGGCATCTGGTGGCGAGGGGCAACACACTGAGCCTGTTTCTTCATCATTAATGACCCTCAGTGATATGCAGACTGGGCACTGCTAGGTACCTCCTTGGAGAAGAGAGATCATATAAAGGAACAGCCCTACAGGTGCAAGTCTTGGCCAGCAGACTGTCCTCTTTGTAGGAATAAAATGATTCCCCCTCCCCAGCTGGATCCAGCCTGGAAGGGGGTGCACAGCCAGAGATGAGTGGCTAGGACGGCCTGCAGCTCCCACTCACTTCCTCAGGCCTGCAGGCAGTGCACAGCTGTCCATCTGCCAGCCCTGCCCACCCTAAAGTCTTGTTTAAAAAAATGCAATGGATCGTATGTATGGAGTCCTCTACTTAAAGAATATTGAAGCCAATTCGTAACTAGAAAAGCGTAATAATTAACTGGAAAAGGAATATAATGATCCCTGGGGCCCTACCATTGGTAGGTGCTCTACAAATAGTAGCTATTATCACCACAAATTTTTCCTTTATAGTTTTCAACTCAAAAGTTTCTTTCAATCGATAGCATGCTTTGGCACAGCACAGGAACCCAGACTGGCCTTGAAATTTCACTAACATTGCCACACATCCACCACTCAGTCAAACAAGCTACTTCTATGGAATCTGTAATGACATAATTGAAACCGGGTTTACATTTATTTAAATAGTATAGTTTTGATGGAATGAAAATATTTTAGTAAGCGGCACAACATATGTTTGAGGAAAATTTACAGAGGCTTCCCCTGCCCCATCGATTTCCTCACTTACCTATAAGAGCCCCGTTTTGGAAATGAAAAGAAGAGAGAGAGAAAGAGGGGGGGGAGGTGTGTTAAGTTTCAGTTCTGCACAATGGTACCTTTAACAAACCTGCCAGCTAGTCAGAAACTAAATAGGCTGGTTTGCAAAACTCTTTACTACTGCCAGTTAATATTCACAGGGCTCTGGGGGAACAAGAACTTTCAATGACTCAATATTTATAAATGCTACTGTTGTCCCCCAAACATGTGTCTTAGATTCCTGAGGGATACTGGGAGCTTTTGCCGTAATAAGGTGGAGGGTATGTGAGTTTTAAATGGGGAGAGGAGTAGTTAGGAAAACAAAATTAAACACACATAAATGAGCACTTGGTGGTCTTGAATTTGAATACCACTTGAGTATGACTGGGAAGCCGGACCTGTCTGGGTTATTTCATTTTCATATACCAATGTCTTAAACATAGAGAAAGCATTCAAAATGCACAACACTGCTCGCTAAGACACGTTTTGTCTTTTTATTTGAAATTTTGCTGCTTTACATCTACCAATGCCAAAAAAGGCTAACCTTCCAATGTGGGATATCAAAATAGCTGAGTTTGTGTTTACAACTCTGATGGTGTAATCGAAACTCCAAACGCTCAAGAAACAATAACATTAGTGAGGTGAAGTCAACTCTAAATTAAAAGTCAGTGTTTCCATTACCCACTCTAACAGTATTTCAGGATTTTATATAACTTGATCATTAAAAAATGCTCTAGGCTGAAAACCTGGTCTGTGTCAATCTTGGACTAAACTAGTTTGTAAAGCTCTGAAGTTTGTTTGCCCTACTCTTTTATCCATTTTCAAGAATGTATTACTTTTAAATGCTGCACATGAAACTAACCCAAAAAAATCTCTAACACCCAGTGAGCCAATGCCATTGCATGCATCACTCGTTTTTCAGAAGAAATTTATGACTTCTGTAAACTCACTTTCAAGGTGCCTATGGCTGGAAGTAAACAGCTCCAATTCCTTTTCTAACTCAATCTTCAGCACGTCCCTGCTCTCCCAGTTACTTCACCATGAATACCAAAATTTCAAATTGGAACATTAACTTTTGTAGAAATAAACTTCAAATTAGAATCTAACCTGGTAGAAATGAAGTTTCTCCCGTGACTTTATTAAATTGGTTCTTCACGGGACAGAAAAGTTTTTATATGGGAATGTCAAAAAAGAAAGGTAGGACAATACATTAAATTCGGCTATATTCAGGTGCCACTGCAGTGAGGAATAACAGTAGAAGCAATGGTGCATGAAGCCAAACAGCTCTGAGACACATGGAAACATGCTGGCATCTAGAAGCCCAGAAATGCAGGCTGCGAGGGTAAAGAGGCAGCTCTAACACCCTGAGACTAGGTGACAAGGAATGCCCGGGGAGAGGCATGGCAAGAGCTCAGCACTGGCTGCACCTGAGATGTCTCTGCCCTTCACCACCTTCATGACGATAATGTAGGGCCCACCCAAAGTATCTGGGTAACTTGAATCCTTGCCGGGGAAGGACAAGACAAAGCAAGGACAAACTTACCTGTTTGCGTATGTTAAAGTTTGTATGTCTTTGTCTGTCTCTGACTAGACCTTAAAGGGGAGAACTTACATAGAGTAAACACATTTATATTTATAAAAGTAAAAAGGGGAATGTTGTTTTAACATGTCATTATTATATTTTTTACTTTGACTCTTGTAGAAGTGTGAAAGATCATCATTTTGAATAAAAATAGAAATACCTAGACTCTCTGGGTCAGAAGAAATGATGAATTTCACTTCCTGATCTGGATACTGCCAGTAAATCCTTTCTACAATATCACTCAGCACCTAAAATTATTTGTAAAATATATATATTTTTTACAAGATATATATTTATAAACTCAAATTTTAAAAATCTGATGATTTGTAATATACCTGTGATAAAATACTTTCAGTGATGAAGAACTCATTATTCATGAACTAGCCCTTCATTCAGACAACACTTTTGGTTAAAAAATTCTTCCTTATGGCTTTGGGAATGAAGAAACATGCAAAGATTTTTTATTGAGAAACACTACAAAATATCACTAATATCATTTCTACTCAGTCCAAAATGATTTGAAACTGACCAAATGTAATACTCTTTATCATTGTAAGTCCTATTTATATTTAAAGACTGTCTTTTATTAAGTTTTTAATAATAAAGTGACTTCCAAACATTAAAAAACACATCTCGATGATGGAATATTATTCAGCCATGAAAAAGAATGAAATACTAAAACATGTTACAACATGGATAAACCTTGAAAACATGCTAAGAGAAAGAAGCCAGGCACAAAAAGTCACATGTTGTATAATTCTGTTTACATAAAATGTCCAGAATAGGTAAATCTAATAGAAGCAGAAAGTAAATTAGTGGTTGCCTAGAGATGGGGAAAAGAGAAGGGGGAACAACTGTTCATGGGCACAGGGTTTCTTTTTGGAGTGATTTAAGTGTCCTGGATTTAAATAGTGATGATGTACAACCTAAAAACCACTGAATTATATTCTTTAAATGGGTGAATTTTATGGTTTATAAATTATATCTCAATTTTAAAAATAATAACCAGATCTTAAATCAAAATTCATTTTGATAGGTATTACTATCCAAAAAACTCTGAACTCAATAAAATGGCCAAAATGAATACTAACTTTAGCCCTGTAAAGTTTAGTTCTCTCAAGTTACCCAGTGAGAGATACTGAATAGTTTACAAAAATGGTTTTACTAAAGAATCTCTCACTATGTATATGCCAATACTCGTTGATTTGTAAAGAATCTGGACTTCCTTTTTATTTTACAGGAAAGTATAGGTTCACTTCAAGTTACTTGTATGTGTACTTACGAAGATCAGGAAATTTCAAACTCACAAATGATTTATTCAAATTAAAAATGACCATCTAAAGCTGTTATTATAGCCTATTTCAAATATCTCAGGGTTTCCTGAGGCTTAATGTAAAACATGTGAATTGTATTCCATCTACTTGAACTGCTTCTATATTTTTTCGAATCACAATCACACATCCTACAAAAACTGAAGTAGATTGAACTGATGGCTGGTTAATTTAGTAAAGATGATACTACTTAGGTAAAGCATATATGTGTTGAATTTTTATGACCATAACTTAAAAATATAATGCATATAAGACATTATTATCCTATGACTAGAAACAAAGAACTCTCAATCTGAAAAAACACATGTATGTGTCATTACATTTTTCCCAGAAGGACATATAAAATCCTTTTATACTATGCTTCAGAATAGGGTTTAGGTCACTACATGGTATAAGGTATTCTACTTTCATATTCTTACTATCATGTTAGAAACTGCACATCTCATTAGCTGTACTGTAGGCTCCAGGGACTGTATGTAAATCTTGATTGTTTTAGATTATGCCAAGGATAATGTCTTACATACAGACAGGCCTAATATCTGATATACGTTGAAGATTTATTTAGTTAGGTTGCTAGTATTACCCAGTTCTCCATGGCAAAGTTTCTTTATATGTATGTATAGTACATTGGATTGCCAAGTGACCAAAAATTGCCATGAATTTGATAATATAATTCATTATTACATAGATTTTGATGAGAGTTATGACACATACCTTTATTACGCACACACATAATAGGAAAAACAGTACTCACAGTTGTAACCAGGTGCAATACGGTGTTGAGCTTCCAGGCTAGCCAAGGTGATGTGGAAAATAATATGCAGCATCAGGAAGGAAAGACTGGTGAAGCACAGGGACTTTAACAGCCATCCCGTGTGTCCTAGGGGACAAAGCACAGGGATGTTGAGAGAACTGAAGATGAAACACGCTCATTCTCATCTTTGTACAGTGCCACATAAAACGTGTTTCTACATAATCTATCATGTAAACTGACTCAAAAGTATATAAAGTGTAGCAATTACTCCCTTAATTATTAGTCTAAAGATGAAAGCTATCTTACTTCCTTTGTAAAATTTTATAATGAACATTGATTAAAAACTCAGTGTAAAGGAAACATGCTTTTCTATTATCATGATATGTTACCTCAAAATGAAACCACAAAAATCCCCTAGCCAGAAAATTTTACAAGGGAGTTCTGCCAACTTTGACGAAACAGATAATCCCTATCTAATAAAAGTAGTTTCAGAGAGTAAAGAAAAAAGACAAGTTTCCTAAAACAGTTTACGAAGATAGAGTAACATTAATTTTAAAATTAAGTAAGTCTAGAAAAGAAAGGAAATTATAAGCCCATTTTACTTATGAACATAGACATACGTTATTAAAAAAGATTTTGGTAACCAACTGAAACAGTATATAAAAATGTAATTCACCATAATAAGCTAGGGTTTATTGCAGAAAAACAAGTGTGGCTTAAGATTAACAAATCTTTAAGTGTTAAATCATACACTAGAAGGCTAAATCATGATTACTCAATGGATACAGATTACGTTTTCATAAAGTTCAAAATTTCTTCATAATAAAAGAAAATAACATCACAAAACTAGGAACAGAAGGAAATATTCTTAATATGATAAAAGATTAATACCGTAACTAAAGCAAACATCTTATTTATGGTAGCATTTTAGAGATAGCCCATTAATGTCAGATAATGACACTTGATATCCTTTCCACTTAACATATCACTGGGTATACTGGCCAATGTTATAAGATAAGAAAAACATAAAGAGTTGAGATAACTAGAATTATTTCCAGATAATATGATCAAATGGAATTATTTGCAGATGATATTATCTATATAGAATGTCAATTGAATCTACAGACCAACTATTAGAACCAATACAAGTAAATGATTCAGGCACAATATTATCTTACAGAAAACAATACAGCTCCTCTACATTAACAACAATCAAATAAAAAACAAAATACTAATCTAGATGTTGCTGTAAGTTTACAGATGTGATAAAAGTCCATAGTCAATTGACTTTTTTTCACAAATTTTATTTTAATTGAATTTATTGTGGTGACATTGGTTAAAATTACATAGGATTCAATTCTACAATCCATCATCTGTATATTGTACTGTGTGTTTACCAGCCCAAGTCAACTCTCCTTCCATTACCATTTATACGACCTTTACTTTCTTCTACCTCCCCCCAGCCCCTTTTCCCTCTGGCAATCATCATACTCTTGTCAGTGTCCATGAATCTTTCTTTTTTTTTCTTTGCTTAATTCCTTCACCCTTCTTACCCATCTCCCAACCCTCTTCTCTCTGATAGAGGTCAGTCTATTCTCTGCACTCTGTATCCATGACGACTCTATCCATAATCAATTGACTTTAAGTAACGAGATTATTCTTGATAAGCTGGGCAAGCCTGAAGTAATCAGTTGGAAGGATTGACAACCAGGCTAAGGAGTGATGTATGGGAGTCGGAGAGGAAATTCTGTCACCTGTGGACCGTAGCTTTGACATGTGCCCATGAATTTCAGCTTGGTAATGATGATGACTTTCCCTTCCTGACAGGAGCCTGCCTTTTAAATTTCAACTTTCTTAGCCAGCTTACATAATCCATAGTGTGAGCCAATTCCTATATGAACCCTGACTTAATAAAAGAATCTGAGAATCAACCTTAAACAATACACAAGACCTTTATCTATAAAACTGCAAAATTCAATAGTAAAACAAATAAGAATATCTGAGTAAATAAAGAGATTTGTCACATTCCTGAATCAGATGACTTAGTATAATAAAAATGTCAATTTTTTCCAAACTTAGTCTATAAATTTAATGTAATTTCAAGTAAAATAGCAGTAGAACCTTTCAGGCCTTCAACAAATGTATTTCAAGATACATATAAAAGATTGTTTGAGAAAGTCTTATTTAAAATATATACTTGGAAGAATAAAAGTTTGTGAATTGCTAGGTCAATCTTGAAATTTTGAGAAATAAGAACAAAAGTGGGTAAGGTTTATGTGTCCTAACAGACTTTAAGGTATGCTATAAATATAAATTAAAACAAACAACAAACAAACAGGAACTTAGATTCCTTACGGAGAAGGGGAAAAAGTCCAATGGAATATCATATAGAACTCAGAAAAAAACTATATGAATTTGATAAATGTCAAAGTTTACTCCATAAGTCAAGAGGAAAGAATAAGCTATCTAGCAGATGAAAAACTGGCTCAATAAATACAGAAAAAGAATAATGGTGGATCCCTGCCACAAATGTGATCTCCAGATGAACAAAGACCTATATATGAAAGATAAAATTCTAAGTTAATAAACAAAAATATAGGATAATAACTTTGTGCCTTTGCTGTGGAGATTGTCTCATAAAACAAGGCCTAAAATTATAAACTATAAGGCAAAAAAGAGGGAGATTAGATTGCATTAAAATAGAAGATTCAACAAATGCCGTCATAAATAAAGTTTACACACAAATGATTAGCTGGGACATCCAAGCTGTACAAGAAATTGATATCTGGAATAGATAAAGAAAGTCTGCATGTCAACAAGAAGAAGGGCACAATCCCAAATTACTTGATATACAAAAAACAGGAAAATATGACTGAAAATATGACCGTTAACCTTAAAATTACCCAGATATTAGAATATTTGAAAATAATTTTAAAACATTCAGTACAACCACAGTCCCTGAGGTAAAGGTAAACAATCTTAAAATGTATGGAAAAATTCAAGTTGTCAATGGAGAAATAGAAAGTACAAAAAATAAATAAAACATTTTAGATCTGAAAAATTACATTATCTGAAATTTAAAATTCACTCGATAGACACAATAGCAGAATAAAGATAACAAGTGAATGGGTCAGTGTAATAGAAGAGATTAATAGAAATCATCCAGTGTGAATCACAGAGAGCAAAAGGTTGAAATAAAAATTAATAGGCTCTCGGGAAACCTGAGGATCAAAAGGTCTGTTAACTGTCACTAGAGTTATCAAAGGAGAAGAGAAAGACTGGTGCAGAAAAAAGTTGGAATAATAGTTTAAACGTCCCCAAATTTGGTGAAGAATTTACCATTCAATTAGCTTAGCAAACGCCAAATAAGAAGACTCAAACTATTGCAAGACACTTAAAAACCAAAGGAAACCAAAGGTAAAGAAAAACTCCTGAAAGCAGCAAGAGAAAAATGTTGCCTACATACAGGAGGACAACTATTTACATGCCCACGTATTTTCAATCACAAGCCATGAAAACCTGGATACAGTGGGACATCATCTTTAAAGTTATGAAAAAAAAGAACTATAAGCCCAGAATTCTATAACCTACAGAAATATCCTTTGGGAATGAAGGCAAAAAAGACATTCTCAGTTGGAGGAAAACCGAGAGTATTTGGAACCAGGAGATCTGCTCTGAAAGAAATGCCAGAGTAGGTTCTTCAGGCTACAGGGAAATAGCACCCAAGGAAAACTTGGAGCTTTAGTCGTGAAGAGCAACAGAACAGAAGGGATCAAAGATGCTTGTTCACACACACACACACACACACACACACACACACACACACCCCCTAATGACAGTCATGCTCTAATTAATTCATGGCATTTCTAGAAATGATCTCTGTTTTTCTGGTTTAGTAAATATGTTGTGTGTACAGAAATTACTAAGGATATTAGGTTGCCCATGTGTTCTGAGTACTCACTCTTATTTATTCAAGAAATATAAATTATCCACAGATATAATCACTCATAATTAGAAATAATATCTCTTATAATTAGAAACATTAAAAAGTTGGGCATGTATTTAAAAGGATCAGAAAATATATATGGTAATGTTGAGATGATTTGCAAAAATAACCCAGATGGCAGATTCATAAAAGAGGCAATTTACAGGCAGCATGACATGGTACCAAACTGTGTATTTATACATAAGTTTCCTAAGATTATTAGAATACCAAAGCAGAAGAAATTTAATATTAACAGAAATAATAATTAACAAGGCAAGGAAGTACAGTTTTTTCAATAAATTTTAACTTGATTTTGTTTATTTGCAATATATTTCCTCAAGTAGAGCTTGCAAAAATAAACTTGCTCTTCATAGACTGTATCCAATAACTGGGTTTTAAATACAGGTATAACTCTAACTCTTCCTATTATACTTTTGAAAGTAATTCAGAGGCCATTGCTTTAGCCAGCATTTCCAATTTTCTAGCTTTCAAGTAATTTTAAATGTGACAGTAGAAGATCCACGGTTCTCATGATTATGTCAATATTTGCAAGCTAATTTAGAAATTTTCCACTTAAGAAGCAATCCAATCCGAAACCCTAGCAATTCTTAAATAAGAGCTCTGAGCCTTATGGTAATTTTCTTTTGGGTAAAAATGGAACAGCAAGAAGTATCTATTGGTTTATAGATAAGTTAAAGGAATCAAATTTAAATTTTACATAAAGTCAGAGTTTGAAGAGTTCTATATACAGGTTGTCCCAAAAACCATGTACACACTTTGACTAATTATTACTTCCAATAGGTTAAATATGAAAAGAAAGAAATATCAATTGAGCTATCAAGAAATGTATGCGTATACATTTTTGGGGACACTATATATGTGTGTGTGTATAATGTGTGTGTGTGTGTGTGTATACACATTTCAAAGTCTTCTTCAGCCTACCCCAAAGATATCTTTATTATTTAGTTACAACTTAATTAGAAAAACCTCTTAGAAGTACCATGTAGACAATATATATATGGCACTTAGAAAAAAAAACCTTGGAGAGCAAATATTTATATTTAAAAGATTTCCCACAACTTCATGCTCAGATAGAACAAATGAAGAGGAACTTGATACATAAAAATGAGGATTTTCTTCT